GTGGGTTTTGGGAAATGTGATCTTGGCCGTTGATCAATCTGAGATTAACGGCCCAGATCAACCTGTATCAATACGACGTTGTTTGGACTCTCTGGGCATCAGCTGGACTGGACCGGGCAGGCCTGGTTTGGGTATTGTTTGTTTGGGCCAATTTTAATAAATTGGCCCAATCCGGAAGAAGAAGGGACCTTTTCTTATTTTTTTTTATTTTTTTTATTTCTTTTCCTTATTTATTTTAAAAACAAAACTAAGCAAAAATCAAATTAAAATTAAATACACACTCAATACAATTATTTGCACACACACTAAAAATATTTCAAAACAGGTAAAATCAAACAAAACAAAATCACGGACAAAGATGCATGTTTTATGCCTTTCTATTTAACAAACATGTTACGGTTCAGATTATGCATGACACGTACCTTTTTTTGTATTTTGTTTTAATAAAGTAAAAATGGGCCAAAGTCATAAATAATTAATGAAGTGCCATAAAAAATCCGAAAATTGTACAACAGGATCAATTGTCGTTATTTTTTATTTCTTTTGGAGCGATTGTCCCATGAAATAAAAATCACGTGCTCACAGGGGTAGATTGGTAAATTGCAGTACTTTCAGGGGTAAAATGGTAATTTCAGTAAGGTCGGAGGGGTATTTTTGGAATTGAAAATTTGAAGAATTATTTAATCTGAGTGCTCCGTCCACTAGGCATTAATAATATTAAAATAGTACATGGTGGGGGACAAGACATGAGGTAGTCGGGGGTTGATATAATTGTTTAATAGAGTGAGGGACAAGACATATGTTAGTGGGGAATAATGTAGTTGTTTAATATAGTGGGGGACAAAACATGTAGGCATGTGGGACAAGAGAATTAAATAAGAAAAACATTAAGTAGTGGGGGCAAGGCATGCAATTAAGGGAATATTTCGGGTTAGTGGTTCAAGATAAGAGTGTTGGTTATAAATAGAGTCATTTGGATATAGAAAAGAAGAGGACATTTTTTAGGAGAGGTTTTTTTTAGAGAGGATTTTTGGAAGAGGAAGACATTCTGAAAATCTCACGAGTGTCGGAGAGTTGAAAAAGAGAAAACAAAAACAAAGTGAGAAACGAGTTTAGTTTCGGGTTTAATACACGCTTGTTTCGTCTGTTTGTGGTAATACTGGTTGTTGTTGTTTAGTCTTTTCATAAACTTTTGGGGTTGTTCTCTCGAGCTTGTTTGGTTTTCTTCAAATTTTTCTGAGCCTTGAATCTGGTTCGTATTGTTGCTGTTGGGTTGTTGTTGCATTGTTATGTTATTACTGTTGCTGACTCCTCCTTCTCTTCTTCTTGTATTGCCATTTCCAGGTACACATTTGTACACTCTTGGCTTGAGGCGAAATGAAATATTGACCAGGCTTTGTTCCTGTTGAATTCCTCCTGTTTAGATTTGTGCTTGAATAGAGTTTTCCTTTCTTTTGTATAAAATGTAGTTGACTGATTAATGAGTAATGGGGTTGCATATGTATAATAACTCCTTCATCTAATAATGTTAGTTTAAATTAATCAAAGAATAATCAATTTGTTTTGATATTATTGTGTGTCAATCTCATGTTCTAGTATTATTAAATAATAGAATATAGAATGAAAGCAATCTCTGTTTGTACAAACTCGATTGCAATTTTCCATTTGCATTAGCCGTAAATTAGTAACTAATAAGTTACGTCCTTTTTTTTAGCACATAATTAATTGGTAGATTTTCTTTTATTTTAGAGACGAACTTAATAAAAAATGTAGTCGCTGTAGGTTTATCCCTTTAAATAAAAAAACGAGCCGAGCCTCGCCAAATAAAACGCACAGATTGCAGGGCCCTCACAAAAATGTATGTGTTAATTACTTAGAACTCGGGATAGGCCGCTTAGCGAACTCCACGGCCTTACCCAAAATAATAATACGCTAATCTCTTTAGGTGCGCATTTTAATAATCTTACCTTCTTAAACTCGGGTGCATATTTATGTGACCCAAATCCAAATCTCAACGGAGTCGAAATGTGTCTCTAATCACGGGTACATTGATTGTGACGTGGTTCGAGATGCATGTCCATGACGTTGTAAAGTCCTTTAAAAAATAATGAATGAGACAAGTCTCGACAAACAAGAATACACAAATTGCGGGGCCCTCAACGGATAGTTATTTCGAATGCATAGATTTCGAGACAGGCCGCATAGCGAACTTTACGGCTTTTCTCAAAATAACAACGCGTTAGTCTTTAGGCGCGTATTTAATAATGTTATTTTCCTAAATTCGGGTGCACATTTATGTGACCCAAATCCAAATCTCAACAGAGTTGAAATGTGCCAACAACCATGGGTGCATTGATGTGACGTGGTTCGAGATGTATTTCCACGATGTTGTAATTCTTGATAAAAATAATAACAATGACAAAAGCAGTTAAAAGTTAAAATTCGCACATAGGTTCAACATGTATTAAATCAGATAATCAAGCCGAATATGACAGTTGAGCGACCGTGCTAGAACCACGGAACTCGGGAATGCCTAACACCTTCTCCCGGGTTAATAGAATTCCTTATCCGGATTTCTGGTTCGCGGACTGTTAAACAGAGTCATTCTTTTCCTCGATTCGGGATTAACCGGTGACTTGGGACACTCTAAATCTCCCAAGTGGCGACTCTGAAATAAATAAACAAATCCCGTTTCGATTGTCCTTTAATTGGAAAAACTCCTTCACCCCTTGCGGGGGCGGAAAAAGGAGGTGTGACACCAAGGTTAATGGGAATTCACTCGTCTCTCTCAAGGAAAGGTCACAAGTCTGGCTCTAAGTACCATATGTTTGACCCTCATGTAAGTATCCACTAATGCGAGCATCATCCAACTCAAAATCATATAGGGTTTTTGTGGAGTCAATGTGAAGGCTTTTGGTTCAGGGTAGAAAAAGTTGTTGGTCTATATGGGTTCCATTTTCCTTAAGCACTTCTTTTGATTCATTTTGACACAATTCTCTTTGACTCTTTAAGTATTTCACTTCTTTTCAAGGGGTTAGAGAGATACATTGTCACTCTTTCTTATGCAATTCAAAGCATTTCTCCCTTTTCTACTTTTTCCACAACTTTTTCACTTTTGTTTTTCTTGAATCCCGTTTTATTCTTTGCACATTGGGTTTTCTTTTTGTCTTTTTTTTTCATTGTCTTCCTTTCCTTTTGCTTTTGTACCTTTTACCACTTTGTTTCCTATCTCGTCTCTCCCCCCCAAACTTAGACTTTTTCCATTATTCAAGGGACGATTTGGGTGCCAAGAGAAGATATAATTTAGAACGGGTATAGGCTTGTAGCATTGGTTCTTGAAAGAAAAAGGTTTAAGGCTCAAAAGGGTTAGCTAGGGATTATATAATTGGTAGGCTATGGAATTGTTCGACTATTATTTGGATCAAGGAGAGCCTATAATCACTTCTCAATTCGAATTTTCACTCAAAATTTCGCCTCAACAAATATTCAGGGCAAGTTCTAGACCATTGGCTCGGGACTTGGACTCACAATTCGATTTCTCACCACACACACTCAAGGATTGCTAAAGACATAGAGTCGGGGCCCCCACAACAACCTTAGACACGATTGAGCACACAATAGTCCCGAAAGACCACATGATGTTTGTTTGGTCAAAACAAGATTCTCAAGGTCACTACTTTCACCATCCTAAACACAACCACTTGTCTTTGACCATGGGATCAAAGACAAATGTGTTAGGCCCAAGTGAAGCTTTGCTTAAGGTACCCTTAACTATAAACTATTAAAAACAAAAGAAAAATAAAAAACGGACTCAAACCCTTAAGAAAGTTGTCACACCATCCATCATCGGGAAGAGCTACTCGGTTCGCACAATACTCCACCCTTGGAAAGAACCGTAGCATTAAGAAAACCAAGGGCTTATCGAAAGCGCCAAAAACGAAACAACAAGGCTGCGAGCCTATCTACTAAGCTAAAAATAAAAAAATTGTACGAAAATAGAAAATAGAATAAATATTTACAATAGGGGATTAGAATATACAATAGGGGATGAATATATACAAAAATGTCACTTTATATACAGACCAAAGAAAAGATAAAAAGTGCGATAAAAGTAACTAAATGTAAAGTTATATACAGACCAAATAGAAAATCAACAGAAACATAAACTAAGTCAATTAATATATACAATCATCCCGATAAAAGGTAGGGCGCAACCCCACAAATGAAAGCTGGCATTGTCCCCAATGCTAACTAAACAAATAAGCATAAAAAAATCAATATGAAATGATATAGGAGCTCCCTAAGCCTCGTCTGTATGCATGGGCACATGAGTGGTCCCCGGGTCCTCTGTATGTACGGGAACCCAGACTGGTTCCCGGTCTCCTGCTGCTCAGCTGCTGGGACTGGGGCCTGGACCTGTATGGACTGATTATCAGGAACATCCTGTGGCTGACTGGAGGAAACCTCCGGTGGGTCCGCCAACTGGATGATCCCCTCATCTGCACTAGGGAGCTTCCTCTTCTTCTTTGGAAGCTGCTGTGTCTGCTCCTGCTGTGGCTCTGCTACTGGTGTTGTTGTTGGGGCTGGATCCTCGAATAGCAAGTCTAAAGGCAGCTGGTCTGCTTTCAGTTTGTCAACATCCTCCCTCAGTGCCTTCACAGACTCCTTGGAAGCCCGTGTTTTGCGCAGCTTCTTGTGCTCCCTGGCAAGCTCCTTTAGAGCCTTGCCATGAGAATCCACTGCCTTAACCAAGGTAGCCTGAGAATCAAGGATCTTTTGTTGATTGGCAAGAATCTCCTTAAGTGAATCCTCGATAGACTGGAGCACCTGCACTGGCTGTGGTGCCGACTGAGCCGCAATGGTAGAAGACAAGGTGGACAACTTGGATGACGCAGTCGCTATCCAGTTGTTCAAGCTATGAAGCTCAACTGGTGGGCGGTGATAGGATGGGCCCGGGAAGATGGAATCCCCGGGCCAGCTGAAGTAGAGGGACCAGCAACCAGCTCAGTGGAGGGCTCTACAGCAACCAGCTCTTCAGACTGGCCGGTTAGGGCAGAAGCAGGTGGCTTATAATTTTTGTCCTTGGGGTTGTCTGACCCCTTCAAACTGTACCATGAAAACAGAGCCATATGTTTGACCTTGATGTCAAAAGGTCTCTTCTCCACCTCCAGGTCCCGGAAATATATAGTGAGGGTGCTGAGAAAAGGGTAATTCCGGTCATGCTCAACCCCCACTGCAGAAATGACGTGGGACATCACATTGCCCACGTTGATAGGATATCCCTCCATAATAGAAGCAACCAGAACAGCCCGGGCAAGTGGAATAGTCTGATCAACCACCCTCTAGCCTCAAAGTTAAAGGTTCTTCGAAGTATTTTGGCCCCTTCTTGCAACCACTCTGGAACCGTACCCGGGATTGCCAGGTATGAAGCTAACCACGGACGAACCTCCTCGCCCATTGCTAACCTTTCATTGTAAAGAGACTCATCTTCATCATTGAACCCCAGGTATTCATTTAGTGCCTTCCCGGTAAATACCATATTTTTGTTTCGCACTTTGGTCACCTTAGTGCCCTTCAAGATGTGGGCCACATTGCTATAAAACTCTTTGACCATGTGCTCATTCGCCTTCACACAATTATCTTTAAAGAACTCCCAACCCACTCGAGCTCGAAACTGTCTATGTACATTGGGGTGTAGGGGTAGAAGGTCTTTGTTAATGAAACTCCTTTCAAGAATCAATTTTCGTGCCGGCCACCATTCCCTAAACTTGTGGAACGCCACCTGGCTGACGAATCTATCTTCCCAAACAACGGGATTTCTAGTCCGGTCAACACCCCCAACCTGAGGCACACCACCCCCGGTAACTCCCCATCTCCCTATTACCTCTAGCACCCTCTCCAGATATTGACGCTGTGGGAGAGGTAGAGTATTCATCCCCACTACCTGCCGCTGAGCCCTCAGATGACCTAGAAGAAATGTTGATTGAGGCTCGAGCATTGAGGGAAGATGGGGAAGTGTCTCTATGTATGGCGTTCTCTGGATATAGGATGTATAGAGGGACTGAATCTGAAGAGATCTCCAGGGAGGGCTCATACTCGCTCCCCGAGTTGTCAAGGGCTATATCAACCACTTTGATTGCTTTCCTCATGTCCTTTATGTTTTGTCTATCCTGGGGAGAGAGTTTTACCATCCGTTGCTTCACTCCCCGGGAGGAATTACCTCGGCCAGGTTGTTTGGCACTTTTACCTCGTTGTTTGACCATTATCTACAAGCATACACATCTAACATGGTTAGTATTAGCACAGGCAGTGAAACAAGTCTTGAAATTGAATTGCAGACAGCAGATTAAATATTGCAGAAACAGTTGCAGAACATGGCACCGCGGCCCGCACAAACAGGAGTGCGGCCGCACCGGGGGCACCGTGAACCGTGCAAAGGCGACCACGGTCCGCATTGGGACAAGGCCTAGTCAACATCTCTCTGATTCTCCCCACCGCAGCCCACAAAAAAGTAGTGCAGCCGCATTGGGGGCACTGCGGACCGCATAAAAGCAACCGCGATCCGCACTGAGTTGAGGTCTGTAACACCACCTCTCTGAATCCAACCACCGCGGCCCTCACAAAAAAGCACCGCGGCCGCGGTGGGCCAGCGCGGACCGCATAAAGTGCAATGCGGTCGCGCTGGGCATAGGTTCAATTTCAGTCACTTGGGCACCGTGGTCCGCGCAAAATGGCAATGCGGATCACGTTAGGGTACCGCGGACCGCATAAAGGCGACCGCGATCCGCGGAGAGTATATTGCACAGGCACTAAGTTAGGGTTTCCAATTTTTGCAATTTTATTCAAGTTTTCATATACTTTGTCCCTACTCAAATTATTCAGTCATTATGTAAATTAAATACCCCAGAACTAATACTTAAACCAACCTAAGCTAACAAAAATAGAGAAAACAGGACGAAAAAGAAGTTACAAGCTAATTGTAATAAAAAAAAAATTATCAAGTAAATGCACAAGGACTAAGTGAAGCATAACCAGATGAGAAGATAAAATTTAATTAGTCAATCTTAAGCAAGAATCACGGTCAAGAGAGGCTACGAATGTCACACCTCCTTTTTACTACACCCCCGTAAGGGAGTATATAAGAGAGTTTATTACAACTTAAAGTGACAATCGAAACGGGATCCTTTTATTAAAAATTCAAAGTCACCACTTGGGATAATTTATGGTGTCCCAAGTCACCGGTTTAGAAACCCAAATCGAGGAAAAGATTGACTCTGTTTTACAGTTCGCGAACACAAAAATCCGGGTAAGGAATTCTGTTAACCCGGGAGAAGGTGTTAGGCATTCCCGAGTTCCGTGGTTCTAGCACGGTCGCTCAACTGTTATAATTGGCCTATTATCTGATTTTAATACATATTTTAGCCTATGGTACATTTTTAACTTATTATCCGCTTTTAAATTATTTTTAGGAAGATTCAACGTTATCTAAAACACGTCTTGAAACACGCCACATGAAATGCACCCGCAGTCCTTGACACATTTTATTTAACGTTGTTGAGATTTGGATTTGGGTCACATGAAATGCACACCCGAGTTTAAGAAGATAATTTATTAAAATAACGCGCCTAAAACAACTACGCGTTTTCATTTTTAAATCGTAATCATGGCATGCAAACGCGTGCACAGTTACTTATTTTACATGGGCCATAATAGTCATTCAAGTTATCTGTATATACAAATATAGTACCCCACATAGAAAACAAGTAGAAGAAAGAAAATATGGAAAAGGAAAAACAAGGAAACCTTAGGAAATCAGCGATCCTTTTCAATTAAATATATGATAATATGCCTTTACTAGTTTTAGTGTAGATCTACCATTTTGCATTCCTCTCTCTTGCACACGTTTTGCATATGTAAACATATGGAGATGCAACAAAACGCATAAGGCTTCCAATTTCATATAGGTGAAGAATATAAATGAGAAATCCTAATCTAATTAAAACAAACAGTAACAGCAATTGAAATGTATTTCCGAGTACATATAGAAGAATGGCACATATCTTTGTTGGACAAACAAAACAATGATACAAAGTGCAATTTATAAGAAAAATCCAATGGTAACAAGGAGAGGCATAATGGGTATCAGGCAACACTTAACACAGGTAAAAGCTACAACTTTCTTCTTATCCCTTGGCCCAGCAACTCCTATTGCACGACAACTTTTTAAATCAATTATTGGTGATATCAAATTTTATTTTATTTTAAAAAAATATGTCACTCTAACAGTACCTCAGAATTCATTGAACACAAACAATTCATCATCTGAAAGTAATCAACCATCATCTAGACCGTAAGAATAAATCAAGCATTTAACCAAATCAAATCATATTCTCGTCGTAGGATCAAACAGAAGAACAATTGGAGTGGGAAAGAAATGAACCTCAAAACAGAATTTGACCATGATTGTCTCACTGCTCCGTACTCGAAAATGTAACGGACTGCGAACAAAAACTCGAATCGACACCGAAAAACTCGAAACCAAAATGACCTCAGTCAAACTCCATCGGATTCCATGGTTTCAAATCGAAAGTCAGAAGAAGAGGTGGAATTGTTTTTTTGTGAAGGGAGGTGTGGTGACTGATTTTTGTGACGGGAGCAGAAGAAGCAGTGATGACAGTAGACCGCTAACTAGCCGACCACCAACTCCAGCAGCGGGGTGAGATGGGAGCGGCAGAAAGATAGGGACCATAAATGGGAACGGCTGCTGGGAGTTTTCTCAAACAAGAGGGATCGAGCTGCGGCTGCCTTGGGTCAAAAATTGAGGATTGTCGCTGGTGTGCTGTAGGTTAAAGAAGAAGAAGCCTGCTGATGGTCTATCGTCTTTTGTGTATGTGTGTGCTTAGGGGTGTTCAAGGGTTGAAGAAGCGAGTAGGGTGTCGTTCGTTTTCAGGGTCACGGCGGCTTAGGGTCTCTAGGTTCTAGCCCCTTTTTTCAGGTTTTTTAAGCATTACTTTATATGTAGAGTCTAGGTCTAGGTGTATTTTTTATGTATTTTGTCCATTAGTCCCTAGGTCTTTTGTGTATTAGGTCCTTAGGGTCTTTTTATTTGTTTTTGTTCCAAAGAAGAGTCTAGAAGGGTCCCTATTGGGCCAAGAACTGGGCTCTAAATCTATTAAAATTGTGATCCAACACTTTAATTGACTCCTTTTAAAATAAAATAAAAACTCTACACAATCCAAAGTTAATCCTAATTAATTAAACTAAAATGAAACTATTTTTGTGTTTTCGAAATTATATAAAGATAAAAATAAGGTACCATTTATATATATNAACAAAGAACGACCAGACAGGTTTTTTGACCCGACCCTTATTTGGAGAGACTAAAGCTAAGAGAAAAGGGGAATGTGACCGAGCCCTGGTATCTGAGCTGCTTACATATCCTTGGCTATAAAGGAATCAGGCCACGTGTAGTTCAGAAGTGAGTGAGATGATGGAGTATGCCGAGGTGGAGAGCCGGTCGAGGTGCCGTTCTACTGAGGTTCCGGTCCGCAGTCCCGTTATTACATCAAAATCAAAAATGAAAAAGACTAACTAAGCATATCAACTACGAGTTACAAGATTCCTATCTACGAGTCTTCTGAAGTTTGATCTTGAGTCTTGGTTGGTTCTTCATGCGGACTCTGATCTGAATCTTGATGTTTGTTAGCCGCAGGTGTTGGTTCAATCTTCTTCAGCTTTTCAAACCAAGACGGGACATGCAGAGCTTATGACCTCAGCCTGTCTTGAGCAGCTCATATCTTTCATTAACTTCTGCATTTGGATTCACTTCTTGTCTTTCTTTTATTGTTGTTTTTTTCTTTTTATTCTGGATTGTGACAAACTTCTGTTGATCATATCGGACTGCTGACTCGCATTATTGACGCGAGATTCTTTTGTTGCTGACCTGAATTGCATTCTGAATTGAACTCCCTTTTTTTCCAGGTGGGCGCTTGATTGCTGAACTTGAACCGTCTTTTCTTGTTACTTGACACTGTTTTTCCCTGCATCTTGAACCATTTTCCCTTGATACTTGAATTGTCTTTCTTTGAAACTACTTTCCCTTGAAACTCGAGTTGTCTTCCTTCAACACTGTTTTCCCTAGAAACTTGAGTTGTCCTCCCTTGTTCTCCAGGTGGGCGCCTGATTACAACAAAACAGACAAAACAAAAGAAATTTTTTCTGCCCCAGTTTGCACTAGGATGATTTGTGAATTGTTAGCAAAATTGTAAACCACTTGTACTATTGATGCAATGATGAGAGTAAACTAAAGAATAGACTAGGAAAACTATAAACTAAGCTTGACTAAAGTAAAGACTGACCCTATTCTCCAGGCGGGCCCCCCCTGATTTCAGGAAAACTAAGCATTGATAATCTTAAGAAAACTAAAACATGACTCCCTTTTTCTCAAATTCAGACTTCCTTTTTTTTCAAAATATCCTAGGAGAAAATTCGTTAGACTAGGTTTTCTATCTTAGGAGAAAGATTCATCAGAATAAGACGTTAATCCTAGGAGAAAATTCATCAGACTAGGCCCTTTTTCTCTTTTTTTTTTTGGTATCTTAGGAGAAATATTCATCCGACTAAGACGTTTATCCTAGGAGAAAATTCATCAGACTAGGTTTTCTATCTTAGGAGAAAGATTCATCAGACTAAGATTTCTATCCTAGGAGAAAGTTCATCAGACTAGGTCTTCTATCTTAGGAGAAAAATTCATCAGACTAAGATTTTGATCCTAGGAGAAAATTCATCAGACTAGGTCTTTTTTTTTTGTATCTTAGGAGAAAGATTCATCAGACTAAGATTTCTATTCTAGAAGAAAATTCATCAGACTAAGACATTTATCCTAGGAGAAAATTCATCAGACTAGGTCTTTTTTCATTTTTTTTGGTATCTTAGGAGAAAGATTCATCCGACTAAGACGTTTTATCCTAGGAGAAAATTCATCAGACTAGATTTTCTATCTTAGGAGAAAGATTCATCAGACTAAGACATTTATCCTAGGAGAAAATTCATCAGACTAGGTTTTTTTTCATTTTTTTTGGTATCTTAGGAGAAAGATTCATCCGACTAAGACGTTTTATCCTAGGAGAAAATTCATCAGACTAGATTTTCTATCTTAGGAGAAAGATTCATCAGACTAAGACATTTATCCTAGGAGAAAATTCATCAGACTAGGTCTTCTATCTTAGGAGAAAAATTCATCAGACTAAGATTTCGATCCTAGGAGAAAGTTCATTAGACTAGGTTTTCCATATTAGGAGAAAAAATGCGAAGATCAATGGCAAGATTTTATGCATAATTAGCAAGACAAATAAAGGAAAAGATTTGAGAAACTTCTCTTCGTAGTCTCTTCTCTTCTTTTTTTCTCTTCTCTTTCTTTTTTTGTTATTTTTTTCTTTTTTTTGAACCACTTTCCTTGCACTGCTTTGTTCCTGTTTCACGCAAAGAAAAATTTGTTAGTTTTGAAAATGGTGGTCAGTTTGTGGTCTTGAGTCTTGGGCAACTTGGCTTTTGCTCGAGTCGGTCTCAAGAGACTTTTGCTCTGCATTAACCCTGATTGTTTCACACCCAGTACCATTTGTATTTGTGGCTCAATCAGCCTTATCCCAACTGGAGATCTTTTCTTAGGTGATCTTTTCTGATATCTTGAAACGACTTCCTGCTTTTGAGAAATTTATCCGTCAGAGAGAATCACGAGGTGTCTTTGCTTGTGCCAAGTAGGTTGACGAGAGTCTTTTGGGGGAGCCTTTGCATGAATCCTCAAGGCATGTTAACAGTAACAACCGAGTGTGCTGGCCAAATTTAATTTGTGCAATTAAAGAGCTGGTAGCAGATTTTGAAATCTTTTCTTGCTTGTTTTGACAAGGACTGAATCAGAGTGAAGGACACAATGATGCAAAGAAACAAGTATTAACAAGAAATTCCCCTGTCGGAAGGACAGAAGGAAGAGTTTTTTTTTCATTTTTTTTCAATAACTAGCCTTAGTGGTCATGACATGCATTTTGGACTTAGTGGCCGATCTATCAAACTAATTCACTCTTCCCTTTTACTATTCTTATGACCTTTGAAGTCGGGCCTATCCGTGCCAATCCTTTGCATCAGCTTCACAACTCACTTTCGACTAATGGTGCCTCGAGGGGTTTTCACCAACAAGTCTCTCTCATTTATTCATCTCTGCTTACCGTCGTCTTACAGTGCCCGTGAGGGTTTCCCTAATAAGAATCTCTCATTTTTCTTTTTCTTTTTCTTTCTCTCTTTTGTGAGCAACTCGATGATGTTCTACGTCGTGTGACAACTGTTGCTCATTGCATGCGTCTCTTGGCATTCTTGAAGGCATATTGGAAGGTCTTTATTTGGAAGGTTTTTGGATAGGGTTGGAAAGAAAGGTCGGCATGAAGGCTCAAAATAAACTCAAAATGAGGGGTTGTAGACTTACAACTCTTGGAATCGACTCTTTCAAAAATGAAATAAAATCTTTGCCCCAGTTTCGGATGCTGGGGATTTTTAGATTTTTCTATTTTTCTATTTTTTCTTCTAAATTCTTATTTGGTTGGACCGAACCGTGAGGCTGCCTACGTATCCTTTTTTAAGGAATCAGGTCTAACGTAGTTCAAACATCTGACCTAACTATAATTTTTTTCATCCTTCTGTCTGTATCTCTTTTCCTTTTTCCTTTTTTTTCTCTTTTTTTACCTTTTCTTTTTTTTTTCTTTTTTTTGTTTGCCCCAGTTTCTATTTTTGAGGGCATGGACCTTTGACAATTCTTTTTTTTTAACTTTCTAAGAATTGCCCCAGTTTGTACTTTTAAGACATGAATTTTTCTTTTCTTTTTTTTGACTCTAAACTTGATTCCAAAAGAGGGTAGTCAAAGAAAAATAACACCGGCTCAAAAAGGGTAGCAAAGGATATAAAATATTTGGGTAGCAGAAAAAGGGTCTCCCAACCTCAAGAACGTCAAACATGGTAACTTTTCGCGATCACAGCATTGACGAACATGTCTGTCTTCTTGGTGTGCCGTGGTCACAAGACATTTTTTTATCCCTTAGTGACAAACTTTCCAACAAACTTTAATTGATTAAACATCCTCAAGCCCGATCTTCACAATGATTTAAAGGTGAATTTTACTCGACCTTAGTTCCAAAGTATTCCAACTCTTTATTTATCCTCAAAAGTATTTTTTTTAGTTATCGAATTCCAGATTAAATCAGTTCCTAAGACCTGGCCAAAATTTCCGCATGCATGTCATGTCATTAGAACTAGCGAGACAAGAACTAGGAACAAAATGACACAAAAGGACAAACTGTAGTTTATTGAGTAAAGGATGAAAGGGTTTTACAACTAAACAAGCAACCTAAAATACGAGTTACAACCCTAAAATAACCCGAATAATGAAAATAGCAACAGAACAGGCAGACAAGACTCACACAAATAAAATGGAGGGATAGAAGGGTTTGACTCAATAAAACAAATAAAATCTGGATCACAACCCTGAAATAACCCAGATAATAGAAAAAACATCAAAACAAGCTACCAAGATTCCTTCCTAGTGAGGAGGGAATGACTTTTCAATTGTTAGGCTTGACATTTAGCCACAAATTTTCTCATCAGAATCAGCAAAGCCTTCCCCAATTTCAACATCATTAACTTCTGTTAGCAAGTTCCCGAGAGGATTCTCATACTCCATGTCACCAGACTTCATCCCCACAAAGTGTGCATCATGATGTGCAGGTAAATGATTCTGCTCGATATTCTAGATGTCACTGCCTTGGATCACAATCAGGTTTTCCTGGATTATCCTTTCTATTTCTCTTTTCAAATCCCGACAGCTTTCAACATTGTGCCCCTGGGCATTGAGATGGTATTCACACCTTTTATAAGGGTTAAAGCTTCTCGCACGTGGGTCCACATGATTTGGAGGAATAGGTGCAATCATGTCATAATGCTTTAACTTCTCAAATAAGCTTGCATAGGACTCTCCTATTGGTGTAAAATTATCTTTCAACCTTTGTTCCCCTTTATACCTCTGGCTTGGATGTGG